GTCAAGTGGGTGTGGCAGTAGGTGTTTGAGGCTGCACTGAGGCTTGCCCAAGGTATAGCCATGCTGAGGGGGAGGCTAAGCAAACTCACAGTGGGCCATCGTATTCCTGGCATGCCATACTCCTCTCCAAGCACAGAAGAGCACTGGTGGAATGTTCCAGCAGGCAGGGTTTCCCACGGTGTGGCTGGTCCCATGCAGGTGTCACAGCTGTTTGGGGTGGTCTGTGTGGGGAGGTCTTGTTCCCAGTGGGGGCTGATGGGCACCATCGCAGCAGCTTCAGCCGTGCCCCTCCCTCCTGTGGCGTCGCACGGCTTTGTCTCAGATGAGCCATCCTGCAGGAGCCTCAGCAGATGGCCTGGCCCATGTCCTTCTCCTGGTGGTGATACTGATCCTTCAATGCTGACATGTCCTCCTCTGCCTTCGTCCCCAGGTGCCGAGTCCTTTGGGTTGTTCTCCTGCATGATCAACGGGGAGGAGCAGGAGCAGACTCACCGTGCTGTCTTTAGGTGAGCTTGCAGGCACAGGCAGAGTACCCAGCCTCTACCAGGGGAGAGCTGGTGCTGCACTCCCACCAAGGTGGGGCTCGCACAAGCCCAAGTGCTTCTGGTGTGGGAAGCCCTGGTGAACAAACCAGTGCCTGTAGCTGCCCTGCCCAGGAGCACCATTTGCCCAGGCTGCTGCATGGGCAAGACCTCCAAGGGCAGTCAGGGCCTCTGAGGAGCAGCTTGGGTGGTGCAATAGGAGATACCCTTGCATTAGGTGCCAGGATGCTGCTGCCTGTTGAGCCCAAACCTCCCCCAGTACTTTATTTAGCATGTCAGGTCCCCAGGGCTACCAGGGCACTGCCTGGGTTGGTGGTGGGTGCCCCAGCAGTGTGCCAGTGAGAAGGCCACCAGCACTGCTAGCCAGCCAGCTGCTAGTGCCTCTCTGCCCAGGTTTGTGCCTCGCCATGCGGATGAGCTGGAGCTGGAGGTGGATGACCCTTTGCTGGTGGAGGTGCAGGCAGAAGATTATTGGTATGAGGCCTACAACATGCGCACAGGAGATCGGGGCATCTTTCCTGCCTACTATGCTATTGAAGTCACCAAGGACTCAGACCACGTAACAGGTACCAAGCCTCTGTGTGCAGCCTGCTGATGTCCCCACCTTGTACCACATCCTCCCTGCTGAGCAGTCTGGTGCTGAGCAGGGGGCTGGGGGGAGGACCAAACCGGGCATTCAGCAGGGAGCGATGAGCAGGTTCTGTTGTGATGCTGGGAGTTGGTACCTGGTGTTGAGGGAAGCTTTTCCTGGGCAGGGAAAAGCACAGGGTTTGGAAGACAGAGAGGGAAGGTGAAGCTCAGCCCACATACCTGGTCACTGGAGATGATCCCTGCCATGTGCTCTCTCTTCCAGCTCTGGCCAAGAGTAGTGACTGGGTGGACCAGTTCCGGGTGAAGTTCCTTGGCTCTGTGCAGGTTCCCTACCACAAGGGCAATGATGTGCTCTGTGCGGCCATGCAGAAGGTATGGAGTGTCCCACTCCATCCCAGGGAGCAGGAATGCCTGCTCCTTCTGCCAGCAGGGCAGAGCCTCGGTGGGGAATCATCATCACTGCTCATGAGTCCCATGGCTCTGTCTCTCTCTCCTGCAGATTGCCACCACGCGCCGCCTCACTGTGCACTTTAACCCACCCTCCAGCTGCGTCCTGGAGATCAGTGTGCGCGGGGTCAAGATTGCTGTGAAAGCTGACGACTCCAAGGAGCACAGCAAGGTAGTGCCCCGCTCCCTGCTCGTCTCATCCCTTCCCTGATTGCTGCTCTGAACTGCCTCGTGCCCTCTGTGCTGCAGGCCATGATTGCATATGAAAATTAAGGGTCTCCACCCACGTCTGAGGGTGTGAGAAACACCATCATCAGCGTTTTAGGCCCACCATGGAGGCCCCCTGTGCCTCAGCAGGCCCCAGCTCTGGGCAGTACTGCCAGCTGATGCTCTCACAGCTGCCAGGCATGTCACTGTGCTGGGATGCTGCGAGCTGAGCCATACCTGGTAATCTGTCAGCTGCTTCTAAACCTTTCTGCTACTATTTTGAGTGGTGTCCTCCAGATCTGCCCTGTAATCTCTTTATCTGGCAAGGGCAAGCTGCTGATTAGCATTCTACATAAGTAGCCTAGTAAAGCACATTGGGATGCTGAGGAGAGGAAAGTGAGGGCTTTGCAGTAAGCTGTTGGGAAACCTCCCCTAGCTGGGGGATAGGAGTAGCTCATGGCTCTGAGTGCTGTGACAGAGCTGGGTTGAGGTTTCTACAAATCTTGCCTGTATCTAGAGGGTGCCATCAACTTAGTTGCTGTTTAGACTTGTGTAAGTTTTCATTTCTGGTTGGGACCCTTTGACACCCAGGCTTGAATTGACTTGTTTAGTTCTAAGTTATCTTCTTTCATTATCTTCATTCATCTTCTATGTACTGGTGTTTATGAGAGCCTTTTTAGTGAAGGAGGTCTGTGTGTGCTGCTGATCAGCAGCACTGACTCTAGCCCGAGTACAGTCTGACTCAGGGCCCCCAGGGAAATCCTGCAGGAGCTACTGGCGGTAAAGGCAGCTGGGGTGAGAGCCAGCAGAGCTGCCTGGAAAAGCTCCTTTTGTTCAGGTGCTTGGAGCAATCCTGAAACTGCTGCTGATAGCAGTCCAGGATTAGGCTCCAATTAATTTCAGTCTTGAGTCTCCAAGTGTATATTTCCAGTGGCCAGAGACCAGCTGCACTGCACAGGGTGGGGAGAAAAGCTCTGACAGTTCTCCCCTCTCTCTCTCTCTCTCTCCCCCAGGTAAACAAGTGTAGCCATTTTTTCCAGCTGAAGAACATTTCCTTTTGTGGGTACCATCCAAAGAACAACAAGTGAGTAGCAAGGACGCGTAGTGCAGCTCTCGACCCCAGTAGCTCAGCAGCGAGGCTTTGCTGCCTTCCTGCTCCCTGTGGGTAGCACGACTGGGGCTAGGAAGGAAAGAGGAGGTTTCCCAGAGCCCTGGCTTGGAGGGCTCCCCTTCCCCTGGGAGCCCAGTGCTGCAGCTCTGGCCATGGGCTGTGGCAAGACCCTGGGGTGGCCACCAGGATTTATCAGAGGGGTTTCAGGTCCCAAATCCCTGTGCTTTAGGGTGGGTACACCTCAGAGATGCTGGGGTACCTGCGCCTGCTGATCTGCTGGCCCAGTCACATCCACTTTCTTTGCCCTCAGATATTTTGGGTTCATCACCAAGCACCCTGCTGACCACAGATTTGCCTGTCATGTCTTTGTCTCGGAGGAGTCCACGAAGCCACTGGCGGAGTCTGTAGGGTGAGTCCTCGATGGGCAGGGAAGGCTGGCTCATAAAAGGCAGGAGGAACAAGACAGCCAGGCTGAACCCTGCCATCTCCCCCTACATGGGGGGCTTGGATCTGGCCCCAGGCTGGCACCTCTTCCTTACGTGAGGTGCTTGGCATGAGAGCCAGGGCTGACAGGGCTATGGGCACCATATTCCTGACAGTACTGGAACAAGTCCCAGTGCAAGGCTTTGCAGGCAGATGGCTGAAAGTCATGCACTGTGCAGGGAATCAGAGCAAGGATGGAGACCCTGTGGCTCTGATGGCAGCTCTGGGGCTAATGCAGAAGAGGTCAGGGGCTGGGGGGTCAAAGAGGCCACAGGGTAGGGGGTGAGGGTCAGGATGGAAACAAGGATCTACATTGGCCTTGTGGGGAGGCTGCTGCTAAGCTTTGCCTGGTGCTGTGTTGCAGGAGGGCTTTCCAGCAATTCTACAAGGAGTATGTGGAGTACACGTGCCCCACAGAGGACATCTACCTGGAATAGGGGCTGGCACAGGCACCTCCTGCACAGCCAGGGCTGCAGTCTCGCTCCTTCCCCGTGTCATGCATGGACAAGAGCTGCTTTGAGCCTGGAGGAGGAGTGGGCCCGGGGCAGGGCTCCCCGGGGCACGGAGTGCTGCCTCTTTTCGTGACTCCCCTTCCTCGGGCTGGGGGGACGGGAGGGGGGAGGGCTGGACAAATTGTGTTTATTGTACAAAATACTCTTAGTTTATTCTATTGGAGAAGCACCCGCTGGGTGCCCTGCTTGTGAGCAGTTGTGGGAGGGCAGTAGCGTGCTCATGCCCTTTCCAGCTGCAGGCTGGGGTGACAGCATCTCCTCCGTGTGACCATGGCACAGCTTCCCGTCACATCCATCTGGGGTGACTTTTAATTGCGGTGGCAGAGTCAGTCTCTTGCAGTATGATGACATAGCAGCTACAGAAAACAAGACCCACATACTGGCTCCTGCCTGGGAGATGGGATCACCTCCCTGCCAGGCACTGGGGAGATTGCTGCTGGGCAGAGGTGGCAGAGGAAGCCCCAGTCTCTCCTCTGCCAGAGCCAGAATGAGATGAGACAGATTTCTCCTGCCTCTGTCCCCATCCCCACCCCCTTCCATCTTGTATCCAGGCCCTGGGGAGAGAGAAAAATTCCCCTCATACCTCCCTGCAGTAACTATACCTTCAGGAGGGATACCTTTCTCTGCCCCTTTCCCCTCTCCCCCAAGCTGCAGGTGGCAGAGGCAGGGCAGGGCCACCCCAGCTCAGTGGGGCTCAGCCCCTGCACAAAGCTGGGTATCTGCCCGAAATGGGGCAGGGAGGGGCTAAAGGCTGCAGGGAGCTGTGCAAAGCACCAGGGAGACAGAAGAGCTCTCCCAGGCCCTGTCCCTGCAGCCAGTGGTCTCTGTGCTTCAGCTGGATCTGCTGTGATGGCAACAACTATTAAATATGATGGTTCATGGAGCAGAGCTACTGTGCTGCTTGTTTCCCACTACAAGGGGTTTGGGCCCTGGCTCTCTCTTTCCTTTGGGACCCCAAGAGGAGCTGGAGTTTCTCACTATTGGTCCAAGGGCCCCTGGCTGCGGTCTTGGGAGGCCAGAGATCATATGATGATCTGAAGGGACTTCTGGCAGCTGTTGCTCCGGCCCTCACCTGCTGGGCTGTGGCAGGCACAGGGGCACGCTGCCTCACAGGCGCCCATCCTCGTAGTACTCCAGCAAGTCCAGCCCGTCGCGCTTGCTTTTGCCAGCCCTGCGCAGCTCCGCCGGCCGCTCCGGGGCCACCTGGGTTCTGAAGCTAGGCTGCTTGGGTTTGATGCCGTAATCTGTGGGTGCAGCAGAGGCTGGGATCAGCCACCTGGAGGGGTGAATGCGTGGAAAGCGGGTTCAGAGGGGCAAGGAGAGTACTGTACCATCCACCAGGCCAAAGTGCTTCTGCGGAAGCTCCAGGGGAGCAGAGAAATCCTCAGGAACTGAGTAGCTGTCCCTACAGAGGAAAATAAGAGCCAGGAGTGAGACAAGGTCCTACAACACTGATCCAGGCTGGCACAAGAGCTCCCATGTGCTGCATCTTCCACCCAGACTGGCCAGCTCTTGAGGCCTGGTGCCGCAAGCCCTGGCCCACATCAGGGGCCCTGGGGCACCTGCAGGTACCGGGGCAGGCAGGAGGAGAAGGAGGGAAGTGCCATCACCTCTGGGGCACAGGCTGTGGGAGGGCAGCCCGCAGCAGCAGGGCGAGGAACAGCAGGCAGCACAGCATGGTGCACACTGACGGGTTCCACTGGTTCCACAGCAGTCACAGAGGAAGCACCCTGGTTGCCCAGGACACCTGTTGGTTGGGGCAGGGACATGGCCCCTCCCCAGTGCTGCTGCTGTCCCTTCCTACCTTGTCCCCTTCAGGTCCTGGGCTGCCTCTGCCTGGGCCCTGCCAGCTGCTGAGGCTTCATTGTGCTGGCACATGTCCCTCTATACAGTCATAGCTCCAGGGCTGCCCCCTGTCCTCCAGCTTGTGCCTTCCTCTCAAACCCTCCAAAAGCAGACCCTTGCATCTCATCTCAGTACCACCCTGGCCCAGGAGCCCACACTTCAGCATCTTCCTCTGCTAAAAGACTTAACAAAGGGAGATAGCTCCTTGGTCATGGCTTTTCTGCGGTGCTGTGACCATGTTGCAGGGCCTTGACAGCTGAGTTGGCAACACAGACCCCTCATCTTGGCAAAGTCCTGTGGTCCCCAACTGTTTTGGCCAATGGGGGATATGTGTGTGGGACTACACATCCAGTGCCGGGTGCTGAGGCAAGAAGGCTGTGACCCCTGCAGCCTGAGAATCCTTCAGGGATGGTTCAGGTAGGAATGTTCCTGATACCTGCTTGGGGCACACTTCCCAGACAGCTGCCTGTGGGGCAGTCCAGTGCTACCAGGTGACTAACCCTTTGTCCTGGCCAAGGGAACCTCCACAGAAGCTCACTGTGCAGACTGGTGCCTCAACTGTCCCCCTGTTATAAGAGACACAGGCCTCTCCTAGGCCCTTTATTAAACATGGCACAGCAGATTTGCTGCATTAATCGTTTCTCCTCTGCCTTTGGCCAAGGCCCCAGGCACTGGCTAGCAGCCATTCTGCAAACCCTTTTAACACACATTAGGTGCTAGGAAAGCAGCCTGTGTACCCCAGGGGAACCCCAGGACTCTGGGGACTGAGGCAGGCACTGGGAATTACACAGGCTATAGTCAGCAGCTGAGCAACATGTGGGGCCCTGACTGACACAGGCCAGGGCAAAGGGGACAGAGTATCACAGGGTACACAACTGCAAAACTTGCTCTTTCTGACAGAGACCTGCTGGCAACCAGATACAAGGGATCCCGTGCAAAGAGGCAAAGGCTCTTCAGCTCAGTTCTCTCCATTCAGTCAGTTTATTTGACAGACAAATCTGCTCCAAGCAGATGGGCCAGGCATGGCCAACACAAGCAGGTTGTGGGTCAACCTCAGTGCCTTGACGTGAGACAGTGCTCTCCAAAAAACCACTGTGCTGCCTGGCTTTATTACAGCACATCTGTACAAAAGGAGAAAAATCAAGTGCTTCAAAAAAGAGGTTGCCCCATCACCATCACTGTAGCCACAGAATGTTCCAGAGAAATAGGTGGCCAGGGTCTCCCCACATTTAATAGATCTTCACGCCTAGATCTGTTAAAAATAAAATCACATACAATCCCCTCCCCGCTCTGCAGAACAGGAGCTTCTCATTTATGATTTAGCTGAAAATTAGACATTATCAACATCCCTCCCACAGTCTGCTTTCCCTCCTTAGGAATGTCCAGCCATGATTTTAGTAGAGAGTAATTATCTTCTTATCAGCCCCAGTTATAGAAATAGATTTTCTGCCAAGCAGGCAAGTAATCCATCAGTGGCCCTGAAACAAGAGAACAGAGGGATCATACATGTAGAAAGGCAACGATTTAAAGCTGTGTGTCTGTGGGGTATATCCCCCACTTCTCATTATGATCCAAACAACCCCAAATCTCCATTTACACCACTCAGATGAACCCAAGATTAGAACAGTTACTTTTGCCAACATGTAAGGCAACACTGCAATGTGGTGCCAGAGATCAGAGCAGGACCAAGAGGGGTGTGAAACATGGTCAGCACAGCCATGGTGTGGGACACCAACCACTCCCTCAGAGCTGACATGCTCAAACTGCAATGGGAAAGGGAGTCTACAATGAGCAAGGCAAAAACCCACATGCAGAGAGTCAGGAGAACACTGCTGTGACAGGGAAGATAACTCAGCAAGAGTGAGCAGGTGCAAACATAGAAGCATCTGCTGTAGAGCAAAAATGCTTACATTGCACAGGGTTTAATGCAGGCTCCAAAGCCTCTCTGAAATCACTAACTGGAGGAAGTGGCTCCTGAACTAGCCAGCTTTGTGACCTCCCCAAAATAAGGGCAATCCCATGATGCCAGGCTGATGTAATGTCGCACCACTGCCATGATCACTCCACAAAAGGATTAACATCATCAGGGGAAGAGTTGGGGGAAATGAAATGCTGGCCTATCATAAAGGGATCCTCTGGTGAAGAACTAGAACACAGACCTGGTTTGGCTCTTTGATGTACAGTCAGTTTCTGCCTGGTTCAATACTTCCAGGCACCCATTTACCCCTCGTGTCCACACTGCAGACTAGGGATCAAGGAAAAGACTTCAGAACAGGGCTGCAAAGTTGGGCCCACGTGAACCAGCTGAGGTGCAGAAAGGAAGCCCAGGAGAACAGACCTAGGTGGCAGATGCTGAGCTCTGCAGCCTCAGGGCACACAGAGGTTTACTACTGTCATCAAGCCAGGAATCAATTAATGTTTTCCTTCAGCATTTAAAAATTACTCAAGCATCAACACAGGCTGCTCTAGTGCTAACTGCTCTAGGGACTTCCCAATTCCTTCCCTGGATTGGAAACCAACTGACAAATGTTCCCAACAGCCCTAATTTTTCTTCATCAGACAGAAATGGGGATATAACAGTGGGACCCTCTTACGTGTGATGAAGCCAACTCCAGGCACATAATCGGCCAACAAGCGCAGAAGGAGGAGGATCCTGCCCCTAGAAAAGGAGAGAGTATGAACAAGTCCAGCTGGACTTCTCCTGCCCCAGCTGTTGAACACACAAACAGCAATGGCACCTGTTACACAAGGGCTCAGATTACCCTGGTCAGAGGCACCCACACATCTTCACATCTATTCACCCAGTGCCCTGATGCTATTTCAGTGAAAAGGGAAATATTCAGCAAAAGCCCAGCAAGGGTCCCTTACTCTGAATATCGGTCATAGAAAGGAGATCTCAGCAGGTAGTACAGCAGTAGGATGGTTCGTCGCCTCAGCTCTGCCCGCTCTCGCCTGTTCAGGTCTTTCAGATCACTCAGCAAACTCAGACTGAAAGGAGAAGGGCAGAGAGCTAAGTCAGAGAAAAAGCAGCCAGCATGGAAAAGAAAGCAGGTTTCTAAAGCCCTCCACTCTCAGCTCCACGCAGAGCAGCCTGCACCAGCTCAGAACAGAGAGCACTGTAAGTGTTGTAGATGTGTCAATCTCCAAGCTAAAGACCAGCCCCCATACCCTTTTCTCTCAGTAGGGCCTGCCCAGGACTGGGGAAAGTGTGATGCCCAGCCAAACCAAGCATCAAGAAAGACTCCTCAGACTGACCTTGAGATGTCCAGGACTGCTGAGAGGAGCCAGGGCTTCCATGATCTCTGGCCCCACACTCCTAAACTCAATACTAGGAACACACAGTCAAGGAATGAAAAGATGAGAGATTCCTAACAAGAGGCACACAGAGAAGTGATCCCCTGTGTACCCACAAAGTTCTGCCAAGAGCAGGTGAACACACTAAGGCAGGGCTGGGAGCGCCGGGGAAAAGGGCTGGGGGACGTACACCCGCAGCTCCAGTGGCTGAGGCCAGCCCCCAGAGTGTAAGAAAGGGAAGAGTCCCGAGCCCCGTGGCCAAGCAGAGCGGCGCAGGGAGCAGAGTTGGGCAGGCACTGCCCTGCAGCCGGGCCGAGCCCGCAGCACCCTCTGCTGGCACCCGGAGCCGTGGGAGCCCGCACCGAGAAGGGCAGGATACGGTGGAGCAGCGGGCGGGTAATGTAGATGGATTCCGCGATGGTTTCCTGGAGACCCAGAGGAGTGGGAGGCTGGTTCATCTCCTCCGCTCTTCGGCTCTGCGACTCCTCCCTCTGCTGGGGGGACCCCCAGTGCCGAGACTGCAGGGACGGGGCTGAAACAAGCAAATCTGGTTACTAACACAAATAAAAGCTTTGTCCCAGCTGGGAACTACGCATCACACGACTGCTAGTTCACTCCACCTGGCCCTGGAGCCCTCCACCCCTCTCCCTGGCCGGTTGGATGGGGAGAAGAATCAGAAAAAGATAAAATTCCTGCATTGGCATAGAACAGTTTAATAACTGAAATAAAGTAAAATAACAAAAATAATAACAATAATAACAGTAATAAAGAGGAAGATAACGAAACCCAAGAAACACAAGCGATGTGCAACTGCTCACCATGCCCAGACTGATGGCCATCCCATTCCCAATCAGCAATCCAGCCAACTCTCCCCGTTTATACAGTGGGCATGATGTTCTATGGTATGGAAGATCCCTTTGGTCAGCTCAGGTACCCCATCCTGACTATGCTCCCTCCCAGCTTCTTGTGCATCTCCTCACTAGCAAAACCCAGGAAAGTGAAGTGTTTGACTTAGAGTAACTGCTACTTCTCAACAACCTACAGTATTAGTTACAATAATGTTATCAACATTATTCTCATACTAAACCTAAAACTCAGCACTGTACTGGTCACCAGAAAGAAAATTAACTCTATCCCCACCCAAACCAGGACACCTTCCTATCATGTCTCCCTGCTTTCTGCACTGTGAAGATGTGAAGCAGGAAAGCTTGAAGAGGTACTTGTAAGATCTGTGCTCCTCAAAGCATAACCATGTTGAAGAGCTGTCTCTGTTGCACGGCTCACTAGGGAAAACACAATTTAAGCGCTATCCTTGCAGAGCTATTGCTTGTGCTAGCTTTGATACCCCTACCCAACCACAGTGGGCCCAGTGAGCGGCAAGGTATGTCCCAATACAATGTTCTACCCTTTACTGCTTACACCCATGTCATTCATGAAGGTACAGAGCATGAACAGCTCAAGCTGAAAAACAGGCTCAGTTACTTACTGCTCTGTAGAGAGCGCACAACACGGCTGGAACGCCTGCCAACATAGGTCTGA